GATGTGTGACAACAAACCCCTTTTCCAGATGCGCTTTGCGTCACAAGGACTGACCCACGGCGAGTCCGACCTCGGGGACTCACGGGCAGGCTGACCCCACGCGCTGCCCAGCCCACGTCAGCGGCCAGTTTAAGGCCGGACAAGAGACGCCAGCGAGCTGCCAGGCCCCGAGCAGACCAGAGCGTCTCACCCGGGTGTGCAGCGAGGTCCCGGGACGGTCAGGGCCCAGCCTGGACGCCTGGCCGGGCGGAAGGCAGACATCCACGCACACCCGCAGTCAGAGGCAGCTGTCTGCACATCCTGGAGTCTCCACTCCTGGGGAGATGCGCTCTCAGCCAGCGTAAACGAGCTTCCAGGGAACACGAGCTCCTGATCGGAACTCTACAGAACCCACGGAACGTTCCTCCCCCACGACTGAGGGTCCACGCAGCGCAGAATTAAAACGTGGTGCTTAATGGTGGAATCCGGAAAGTGGATTTCAGTCTAGCCGGTTCACTCTGGTTCAGGGGCGGTCTCGCTCACCGGCAAGCATCTTGCGATCACAAACACTGCAGAAGCGTGGCGGGGCAGGGCCCACGAGAGCATCTCACGGCCGGGAACACGCGCGGTGCGCGGCCCCGACCAGCGAGCGCCCGCAGAGACACGGCGGCTCGAGGGGGCCCCACCCGGGCCCCCCACAGCCCTCCCACCCCTCCCCCAGCGGCCCTGCGAGCCCAGCTCCAGGGAAGACGCAGCTGGAGCGGAGCAGGGGGAGGTGAAGGAGGGGAGGCAGCTCCAAGCCTGTCCCCAGGGAGGGCGGCAGGCGCCGGGGTCGGAGTGAGAAGGGAGAGCCTGCCGAGTCCGCCCTGGGCCGCCCTGCCCGGCGCAGACCGAGAAGGCCACGCCTGGAATCCCACCCGGACGCCAGTTTCTCTCCGGAGCCCCCCAGGACAGTGGCCTTCCGACTTTTCATGGAGACACACGGTAATAGGATACATCTCACACGTGACCACGTTTGTGCATGCATGTGTGTCAATGCGTGTATGTGCACGTGTGTGCATGCCTGTGTTACATGCCCTGTGTGTCCTGTGTGTTCCGCCCAGCGGCACCCACCCTCACGACGCGGGGTGCCCTCTGACACTGCCCTTCTGTTTCTTCCTCCCTTCCTCACACGCTGGTCGCGATCTACCAGGTTAAGGTCTCGGCCGCTGATGGGGCGGCAAACTGCACTTTGCAAAGCGGCGAGCCTGGAAACGCAAACATCGGCACGCGCCGGGGTCTTCCTTCACTTCATCAATCCGTCAGCTCATCACACGCATTTGCTCGGGGCCCGCTCCGGTGGGGACAGGCAGGTGTGGACGGCGGCAGCCCTCCCGGCCAGGGGGTGGTCGGGGTGCGGTGGGCCGAGGGGGCCCGTCTGAGAACGTGGCGGGAGGGGTGGGATCAGCCGTGACCGCGGGGTTGCAGGTCTTTTAAATCCAAACGATGAGGAAACCACCCTCTCTCGGGAGACCCATGCACGGTGGAACGCGGGGCCCCAAAGAGCGCTAATTTACTGCCCATAAAGGACTCGAGATGCCATCGGGCAGCTGGGATTGCAGGTCCCAGTTTATGGGGTTTGCTTCGAGAGCTCAACTAACCTTTCAAGAAAGCTCTGAAAACAGGTCACCGAGGGCCAGGGATTCTATTAGCAGCCATCCCTGCTGCTCCCAGACACTCCTCTCGAGATACTCGGAAGGTCACAGGGCCTGTCCAGCACCTGGCCGAGGTCACGTGACAGGCCCGGGAGAAGAAGGCATGCACCCGCTCCTCTGAGCATGAGAGGCGCCTCCTCGGGGGGCAGGTGGGGCAGCCACCCCTCCTCTGCCTGGACTGGCACCTGCCCTGTGTCCCTGGTTACTGGTGCGTTGCAGGTGGGCTGAGGCCCGGGGGCGGTCCCTGAACAGCGTCCCAGAGACGGCAGATGGGAGAGTCTCCACCTTCTGAGCTGCAGGACACGTGGGGCTCCACACCGGGCAGGGCCGGCGTCCGACTGCGCAGAACAGCCCCATGCCAGCCCCTGTCCCTGCTGGGCTGTTGGCGGTCACGCCAGCTCTCCCGGCTGCAGTTGCAGGACTCTTTGCAAGACTGAGATGGTGTGGAGCTCCCAGGCCCGGGGGCCAAAGGCAGTGAGAGTTTCGAACGGCCTCGGCCTCTTCACACGCATTAAAAGCACGGAACGGGTGCAGCTGTGACTGCCGTGCTGGGAAGGCTCACGCCCCTCCCCCATCCGTGGCATGTAGTCAGCTCCACATGAGACACGCAGAGCCCGGAGCCCACCACCTCCACGCAGGCCCTCTGGGCTTGCGCCGAACTGACACAGAGACCACACGTGTCCTCCGTCCCTGGCCTGTCTCTGCTGCACGGGGAGCCCATGTGTGCCAGGGAGACCTGCGGGCAGGGAGGCCGGTCGGGCGGCCCCGGCTGGTCCCGGGGCAGGTAACTGGCCCTCGACTGGACAGCAGGAGACTCGGTTCTAGGGACGTGACGTGAGCGAGAGAAGAGGAGACAGTTGTCCCCGGTCACAGGGGGACGGGGAGGGGGCCGACCCCAGAGTCTGGGCCGCGGTGGAGACGTGCAAATGCCGCGAAGCCCCGTCCGGGAGGTCCGACCTGCTGGGACAGGCCGTCCTCGCCAGCCTGGGCCCTGATCGCTGGTGGCTTTGCGATGACGTCACCTGGCGCTGCAGAGGGGCCCGTGGGGGGGGGACGGGTGGGGACACCCAGCGGGAAGCGTCCCTCAGACCTGCCGGCTGGGATGCCCTGGCGAGTTCACCATGGAGACGGAACGTTGTGAGACCCGGCACAGTGCCGTGAACGTGCCGGATGCCACTGAACTGTTCACGTGAAACGGAGAATTTCGTGTTATGCGACTCTGACCCCAGCAAAGTATTAAAAGGCACAATTTGGTGCTGGCGGCAGCTCCCAAGGGAGGACAGAGTCCCACCTGCACCGAGCGTCTCCCCGGCTCAGAGGGGACGGGCCCGGACCACTGGGAGGCTGCTGGTGGCCCCGGCCCCATCTCGGCAGCGACGGCACCTCCTACCCACTGTGCTGTCTCCTGTGGGGTCTTCAGGGCCCCCGACCTCCCACCCGGAGGGGTTGTCAGCAAGCTCAGGGAGGTTCACAAGTTAGTTCCGGAGGGGCGAGATGCTGGGCCCCGTCAGGGCTGACCCAGGGCAGGAAGGATTTGCCAGGGGGCAGTTGAAGAGTGGCAGGTGGCCGAGGGCACTCAGACACCCTCCCCTGCGAACCCAGGCCGGGTGGCTGCTGGCTCAGACGCTGGGGTCACTCGGGAACAGTGAAGGCTGCCCCGGCCAGTGTGCATGGCCCAAGGAAGCCCAGCCCGCCGTCTGTGTGGGTTTCCACGGGGCGACGTGCCGGGCACCTGGGAGATGGCGGAGCAGGGAGGGGGAGGGCCCGAGCCCTGAGGACAGGACAGTCCTGTCCTCAGCCACCGCCCCGTGCAGCTGCAGACGGTCACCTGGCGCCCCACGTGCCAGGTGGACCCGTGGTTCTCCACGGAGCAGCTGCCCCAGCGTCAGAGTCCCTGCCCGGGCTGCGGGGCAGGGAGGGCTCACTGCGCCCACGCGAGGCTTGCTCCAAGGGGCGGGCAGGGCTGGGGCCCGTAGGGGCTCTCGGGTGTGAGCGGCTGCCGCGCCATGTCTGGGGGGAGGAGGGGACACCTGGACAGCACCGTCCCGCCCGGACCTGTCGCCGTGGAAGTCCCCTTGCCCGGGAGAGTTACCCGAAGCTCATCTCCAGGGAGCGGCCCGTTTGCCGCACAGCCTGACGTGAGGGCACCTCTGCCCGAGGGCTGCCCTGGCCCCGGCCACCAGCCCCGCGGAGCCTCCATGCCAGCTCCTACCCGTGAGCAGGCACCGACCCCTGACCCAGGCGCGGGTACCGACCCGTGACCTGTGTTGCAGGCACCGACGCCTGACCTGTGCACAGGCACCGACCCCTGACCTCTGTGCGGGCACTGACCCCTGACATATGTTTCAGGCTCTGACCCCTGACCTGTGCACAGGCACCGACCCCTGACCCCCACGCGGGTACCAACCCCTGACCTGTGTTGCAGGCACTGACCCCTGACCCATGCGCAGGCACTGACCCCTGACATGTATTTCAGGCTCTGACCCCTGACCTGTGCACAGGCACCGACCCCTGACCCCCACGCGGGTACCGACCCCTGACCTGTGTTGCAGGCACTGACCCCTGACCCATGAGCAGGCACTGACCCCTGACATGTGTTTCAGGCTCTGACCCCTGACCTGTGCACAGGCACCGACCCCTGACCCCCTCGCGGGCACTGACCCCTGACATGTGTTGCAGGCACTGACCCCTGACCCATGCGCGGGCACTGACCCCTGACATGTATTTCAGGCTCTGACCCCTGACCTGTGCATAGGCACCAACTCCTGACCTGTGCACAGGCACCGACCCATGACCCCCGCGCGGGCACTGACCCCTGACATGTGTTGCAGGCACTGACCCCTGACATGTGTTTCAGGCTCTGACCCCTGACCTGTGCATAGGCACCGACCCCTGACCTGTGCATAGGCACCGACCCCTGACCTGTGCATAGGCACTGACCCCTGACCCGTTCGCGGGCACCGACCTCTGACCCCGTGTGCGGGTACTGACTCCTGACCAGTGTGAAAGCACCGCCCCCTGTCCTGTGTTGCAGGCACCGCCCCCTGACCCGTGTTGCAGGCACCGCCCCCTGACCTGTGTTGTAGGCACCGCCCCCTGACCTGTGTTGTAGGCACCGCCCCCTGACCTGTGTTGCAGGCACCGCCCTTGACCGGGAACCAGCTGTGGGGCATCAGCCCAGGGCTGAGGTGGGGAGACCGGCTGGGCTCTCTGCACGGGGACAGAGTGACCAGCGCTGCCCGCCCCCCCCCCGCCAGGGGCGTCTGCCGGCCCCCTATGGCCCGGTGTCCGCCGGCCCCCCATGCCCCAGCAAGGCGGCGCACGTACCGTGGTCGTCTTTATCCTCCCGCCGGGCTGCGTGCACGTCCAGCCTGACCGGTTGATCAGCAGGTCGCAGCCCTCCCCCTCCAGGCAGGGAAGCATGTCACACCACTGCTTCGTCCGGATGATCCTCGCTGCAGGAGACAGAAGAGAGGGCGGGTCAGTGCGCTGCTCACCCCGACCTCGGGGCCGCCAGCGAGGGGACCCGAGACCCGGCACGGGGTGGGAAAGTGCCCAGCCAGCGTGGCCCCGCCGTGCAGAGAGGGCTCTAGTGCTCAACATGAGAGATCGGGGCCAGTGGTTCTAAAGGAAATAGAGTCGCAAGACATTCAGGGTGGAATTCGGGGTTTGGAGAGTGACGGTGATGTCCCAGAAGAAGACGACTTCACCGTATTTGAATAACTGTGGATGGTTGTACCGTACTTAAAAAAAAATAACACATCCCCTGAAAATAAGCCTTAAGGTGTTTTCTTGAGGAAAAATAAATATAAGGCCCTGTCTTATTTTCGGGGAAACATGGTAGGTGCGCTGCTATAGAAACGGCACCGACAGACACGGTGGTGGAACCGCTGCGGAGCGGGGCAGGCAGGTGGACGCCAACACCGGCCAGGCGCCATTTCCACCCAGCGCTGAGTCACGACGCTGACCCTCGCGGATTCCAACCTAAGCTGCAACCCCCTGGCTGGAGACTGGGGAAAACTCTGATCTCAGGAGAACAAACTTTAACAGCGGGGTCCGAGGTGCTCAGAGGACAGACGATGTCTCCACGCACTGGCCGACAGCACCTGGTTAGGACAGCCCAGCCGTGGGAGACGCAATGGTGACCGGAGGGCCACATAGGGCTCACATCACACCCCGCACCCCGGTCCTCACCTGCCCAGCAATCCCCGTGTCCTCACCCTGTCGTGTCCAGGTGTGGGGCTCACCTTGCTTGGATGCAGGTAATTCGTATATCAAGAAAGAACCTTCCCCTCTTCCCTGTTTGGACTCTCCCTTTCTGGGTGACCGGCCCCCAGCCCCAGGGGAGCAGAAAGCCCCGAGTGCCAGCCCCAGGGTGGAAGGGTCTTGGCCACCCATGCCGGGCATAGCCGCAGACCTCTGGGTCCCTCCCATCTCCGCCTCCCTGATACCGGGACTCGAGGAAGGAGCCACCTCACCTGGCCTTTTTTGCCTCTTTTTCTTTGTTGTTATTGCTTTTTTTTTTTTTTTTTTTTGATACCGGGACTCGAGGAAGGAGCCACCTCACCTGGCCTTTTTTGCCTCTTTTTCTTTGTTGTTATTGCTTTTTTTTTTTACCTCAAGCTCCTGGGCTCAAGCGATCCTCCTGCCTCAGCCTCCCGAGTAGCTGGGAACACAGGCATGCGCCACCATGCCGGCTAATATTTCTATTTTTAATAGAGACAGGGTCTCACACTTGCTCAGGCTGGTGTCGAACTCCTGACCTCGAGTTATCCTCCCGCCTTGGCCTCCCAGAGTGCTAGGTCTTTGAAGAAAACAAACAACAAAACAAATCACAGGACTCCCACTGTGGGTAAGCTGGAATTGTGTTTCCCAGGGTGCTTGTTTATTAAAATTCCCCAGCCCCGCCTTGTCGGGAGGATTGCCTGCTAAACAGAGTGACACGGGTGTCTGTGAGTGCACATGCGTGTGTCCCACACGGCACCTCCTTCACCTGGACAGTGGCACGTGTGTCACACGCAGGAGGGCTGCTGCTTGGGTGACACTCTGCAGCACCTGTGCGTCTACTGGCCTGCAGGCAGGGACTGTCCCCGTGGGGGCGGTGGGCACAGAGGATGGGGCACTGGAGGGAGAGAGCACACTCCCCCCCGAAGCCGTGGGCTCTGGAATCCTCCGGGGGTCGGATCTGGGGACCTGGGGGGCAGGTGCAGTCTGCAAAGGAGCCAAGGAGAACGTCCTGGCCAGGGCCCGGCCTCTCACCGCCAGTGCAGACAGCCCAGCAGTGGCCACCTGAGCCCCGCACAGAGCAGGGTGGACACAGGCAGTGGGACCTGTGTGTCCTGCCACTGTGCCCCACGCAGGACCCTGCCCGCCCGCCCGGCCCCATGCCAATGCCCGGCAGTGGGGCTGTCTGACTGCTGGCGCTCCCGAGACCCACTCCCTCCCGGACTGACCTGGCCCCTCTCGAACAAATAACGAAGCCCGAACCCCCCCTGTCGGGAGATGGGCCTTTAGGGAGAAATTCAGGTAAACCGAGGCCAGGACGGAGGCGCCGTGGTCCTACAGGGTGGATCCGTGTCCCGGCGCTCTCTGCACACGGAGGAGAGGCCACGCATGTGCGGCACAGCGTTGACACGCCAGGATGCAGACCCTCGCCGGGAGCCGAACCTGCCAGCGCCTTGACCTGGGACCTCCAGCCCCCAGAACCGTGCGGGAGACAAACGTCAGGCGTGCGAGCCACTCAGCGGGGACATTTTGCCGCAGCAGCCGGAGCTGCCACACACCGCCGGGGAGAGCGTGAGAAGGGAACACCTGCCAAGCGAGCTGAGACGTCAGGTGTGCAAAACACTGCGGCTGCGAACGAGCGGTGTCCCCAGCAAGGTGCAACTGCGCTCGCTGCTGCTCACGGTGAGCCAGGGAGGGGGACCTCCTGGCTCCTGGGGTGTCCCCCGGTGAACGGGCCACCCAGCTCCCCAGCCCAGCCGAGAGCTGGAGCCGCCCTCTGCCCTCCGCCCTCCCTCCGACCTCACGGGGCGGGCACGGCCAGCTCGGGCTGGAGTCTGTCACTCATCTCCCGAGCCCTCCTTCTCCCGTCCGTCTGCAGTCCCAGCCGCTGTGCTTCCCGTCCCCGACGCGTAGTGCTGGGTGGCAGTAAATACGGTAGGAAGACCTTCTCAGACCCCAACAAACACAAACCTCAGAGCCACACGGGAGCTGCAGGATTGCACACTCATGCCCCAGTCCCAGAAATTCTACTTGCAACGCCTGAGAAAAGAACTGTACGAATTATAGAAAGGGCTGTGTGTGTGCACATGTGTCCACAGACACGTGTGTGCATGTGTGCTTGCATGTTTGTGTGTGCATGTGTGCGGGAGTGTCCCTGTCGTCAGCGCTCAGGCACAGAAGAGGAAGGGGCACCCACGTGCCTTCACGGAAATCCCAATCTGTGCTCCCCTCTGTCCCCGCTGAGCCTCCTGGGGAAGGTCCCAGCACCGTGTGGCCCTGGCTCCCATCCCAAGCCTCATGGGGCCTCGGAAACATCCCGGGTTCCCAACACCAGGCCCCTCCTGCTAAGAGCCCTACGCAGGGACGTGGCCGTCTCGGGTGAGGCACGCCCTTCAACTGCAAACGGGAAACAGAGTTCAGAGGCAGCATGGCCGAGGAGCGGCTCCCTGGGACACGGCACAGTGGGGTCTGTGGGGCCTCCCGGGGCGGGGGCCGGGGCGGGGGCCGGGCTGCAGGGCAGCTGTGCGAGGGAGGAGGGGAGACAGCCCAGGCTCGAGTCCCCCGAGGACACTCACCCTCTGGGCTGGACGTCCTGGCAAGCAGGATGTTGGGGGCAGAGGACACGGCACAGGTGGCAGCTCGGGGCCGGGCCACCAGCGCACACAAACACGGCCCTGAGCCTTCAGTCTGGCAGGGGAGGAAGCGGGGAGGCCACTCGGACTGAGGGGCCCAGCGCTTGCCAGACCCTGCGGAGACCCGGCAGCCTCCAGATCCCACAGTCCTGGGCACAGACCGGCTCGTCCCAGGGTGGCACCTGCTCCCTGGCCAGGCCCCGTCACTGCCCCGCCCTGGACAGGACCCTTCGGGCCTCTGACACACCCAGGTGACCATGTGAGGCTTTGCTCAGGGTCAGAAAGAGAGAGGAAGGCATGAGGGCCGGGGTCCCCATGGCCTCGCTTGGGGGAGTGGGCACCATTGCTGCCCACGTCACAGCCACGATGCCTGACCCCCCACATATATCCTACACACACACCACAGAGGCATGCAGATGCAGCCACATACCTGTGCATACACACATGCATGCACACACAAAATGCATGCTCACTGACATATGTACACACATGCAGGTGCAGTACACTCACACACGTGCACATTTTCCACACAGTGTACATACATGCACACACATGCAAGTAAAGCACACTCACACATGTGCACATTTCCCACACACACATGTGTACACACATGCACACACATGCAGGTGCAGCACATTCACACATGTGCACATTTCCCACGCACACATGTGCACACACATACAGGTAAAGCACGCTCACATATGTGCACATTTTCCTTGCACACACGTGCACACACATGCACACTCATGCAGGTACAACACATTCACACATGTGCACATTTCCCACGCACACATGTGTACACTCATGCACACACATGCAGGTGCAGAACACTCACACATGTGCACATTTCCCACGCACACATGTGTACACACATGCAGGTGCAACACACACGTGCACATTTCCAATGCACACACATGTACACACATGCACACACCTGTGGGCTTGCCTGGCACGCAGCATCTGTAGAGCGAGAGGACAGGCAGTCCCCCCCCGGGTCCTGGGTGTGTCTGGGCGCCCGTCCTGCGGGCACACTGGCGGCCAGGGCTGCACACACAACGCTTTGTCTGCCCGCGGGCGCTCACTGGCCCGGCCCCGTCCACTTCCTGCTGGGGCGGGCAGAGGCACGGCACCGGGCCACCGTGTCCTGGGGACAAAGGGCCCTTTCAAGGCTTCACCTCACACCCCGCTTCACCCGGCACGGGCGAGGACACCCCTCCTCTGGCCCTGACGTCGCTGCAGCTCTGGGGCGGGGGGGCCCACAGGGGCTGCCGAGCTCCTAGCGGGTGAGCGGCCGTGGCTGCAGCCCAGGCTCTGCTGGACAGCTGTCACAGACTGCCCACGTGGCATGACCCAGTGTCTCCCGGGCACGCAGCGGGCAGGGGCGCAGGGTCTCATGCATGCCTGCGTCCCCAGTGCCCATCCCCAGGCCCGGTGGGAGCAGGTGCTCGGGACGCGGCTGCAGAAGGGCCCAGTGGGACACACCCGAGGAGGGTGTCCGGGCGCCGTTCGTCCAGACTGCAGCAGGGCGTCGGCCAGTCCTGAGCCTCTGACCGGGCCCCACAGCCCCTCGGACCCCAGCTAGCCACCCATGCTAGGGG